CTACTAGGAGCAAAGGGCATCGCTACTAGTAACAAGAAGCTACTAGGTTGGAGGCGATGTTCAAAGTTTAATGTTTTGCCTCGCCGCACTGCCAGGCGCCTCTTGGCAAAGCTCCAAGCTGCACAGGCTGAACCAATGGCCGCCCCGCCGCCAGCCAAGGAGGTTTGCCGGTGGAATTGGACAGGTGTTTCAATTGGTTTATCTTGGATGTGGTGATCCTGCCATGGCTTCGCAAGAATTGGAGAAACATGCAGGTCCAATGTCCTTCCAAAGTCTCAGCCTTAGCATCTCCATGGGCTGTGCAGGTTGTGGGCTTGGAAGAGTTGCTGGAAAAGGCCGCGCTGCAGCGGTGTCAGACAGCAGCCAGTGCCTGGTGTGCAAAGATGAAGGTGCAACGATTGTCAGAGGCTCTGGGCAGTTCGCTGCTTTCGAAGAATCAATTGAGAGTAGCAGGAAGATGGTTTGGATATGTTTGCATGCTTTGCTGTGTGGCCTCCTGGGCCCCACCACAGGCGTGATAGAGAAAGAACCCTAATTGCTCTATTTGGAGCATTTCGGAGTCAAGTCCAAGAAAAGGGCGTTGGCTGCCACACTGTTACATGAGTGCAGGTAGAGCGTGTCCAAGACACAGCAGAAATCCTGGCATCAAGAACTAGCATTCTCAAAACTCTTTGATGGCGTGTCTTAATATGACTCGCCGTCCACATGATCAAACGAAATCAAAGCCTACAGGTGGCCGCCCAGCAAGATGCATTCTTGGCAGATCTTCAACTGAAGCCAATCGAGGAGAAGCGGCTACGGAAGTTGCTGCAGGCAGGCCGAAGCTGGAGAGAAGCCCGGGATAGATGGAGAAAGGCCTGGGGAGGTGGTGCGATGTCATGTCCTGGTGATGCTCTGGCGATTGTGGCAAGTGTTGAAGGACTGAGGTGACTTGAGGTTTGGGTAACAGTACCGGGCAACGTGGTGAGGTTCAAGAAAGGTTGCGCCTGTGGTTTCAAGGAATCGGTTGCGAGATGCCTGTGCGAGCATTAGTCCACAAAGAGTCACAAGTCATGCCGCCACAGTTTTTTTTTGGGGTCTCCTGCACAATGCCGCGTACCAATGAGGGCAGACAAGAAGATCCACAAGACACTAGTCGATAATTGGTGAGTTTGCAAGATGGCCTACTATTCGGACACAGTATGCGGATTTTGCTTCCTGTGCTGCAATTATGGGCCATCTGTGAACTACGCTAAAAGCTTCATCACAACTTCAACTTTATCATATAAATAAATAACTATATATAAATATATATAGAGTCGATCAAGAATGTGCTAGCGTGGAACCATCTATAAGGTTCGAAACGCCTGTCCCGAATACCATGGAGCTTGGCTACTTCTATGCAGCCATGTTAGGCTTCTGTGGCGTTTGTGGTGGTTGACTCCGAACCATCAACCATTGTTTGATTTGGATTTGCCAGGAACACCTCCAGACACCTGCTGCCACAGCCGCGGTCGCCGCGGCTGCTCCTGCTGCAGTGTCTTTTCAGCCAAAGATCGAGGAGCTGCTTCGAGAGGCAATAGTGGACCGACGACTAAGTAGTGGATGACATCGATCTCCTCGATGGGGTTGGGCACATTTGGATGTACTCAAATCCATTTGAGCTGGTTGGTCTTCACTTTTGTGAGTCAAGAGTGAAAAGCGTACTCTGCATTAGCTGTTCCTACTGCGTGGATAGGTGAAGTTGCCGCACGCCGAAGCCACCATCGCATGGTGTCAGCAGAGCCTCGGCTGGGTTGATCATAGACCGCCAACATGAATCTTGCAGAGCACGCAGAGCGGCGAGAAGGCCAAGAGTTGCACCAAAGCAAGAATATGTAATGTTTCATTCACTTTTGAAAGGAGGGAGAGGGAGTGATGAATCGACTGGCAGTAGAGCTGTATTTTCAATTTCGACCCCTTTCGCTAGCACATTGCCAGCTCTGACCTGCAAGCAGTGAGATTCATCTGAGATGATTCTTGTCCTCAGGCAGAGCATTGGAAGCTTCGCCGAGCTTGCGAGTCGCCTTGAGGAGAGGAACGAAGCGGCTGGTCAAAGAAGCTAAGGCTGGTGTGGATGGAAAAAGGTCCAGTTCATTTGGCTGAGATACATGTTTGGTATGGCTTGTAATGTTTAACGCATTCGATCAACCTAGATCTGCTCACAAGCGGTGCATGGTGGAGATCTTCTGAATCTTGTCGCTTACCCCCAAGACAGCTTTTGAATAAACAAAGAACAAAGGAATCATGACCAGCAGACTAGCAGCATTGCTACTTGTATATTGTCAACAAGCTAAAACATGAACCACCCAATTCCGGGTTCATGCTCAATTTGCGCCAGTTGGCAGCTGGCATCCAGAAATTTCAAAAAATCTCAAAGGGCCAAAGCGGCATCACCAGCGCCATTCCTTGTTTTTGTTGGAAGTGTCCCATTGGTAGGGGCACCGAAGAAGCAATTACAATTTCAGCATCATGCAGTGCAAGTCGTTTTTTGAATGTGTTTTTGATGTGGCACAGCTGTGTTGTGGCGCCGTAACGCAGACAGCAAGCTGGCTTGCCAATGTTTTGTTGGTGCCATGACAATCCACCACAGTTTTTTTACTACTCTTGCTGCTCGCCCGTGTAGTCTATACAATGTAGGGGAATCGCTCTTTGCAGGCTGGTTGCAGTATGCAGAAAAGGTTTTCTCACCACCCGCTCATACTCTAGTTAGTGGTGCGCAGTGACCACCAAGAATCCCCGTCCTCGCAAGGAGTTCTCTATCCATTTGGGCTTAAAGCCTCTCGAGGTGAAACGCCTGAGGAAGGCCAGGGAGCTGCCAGCCCTCGGGTCCGATGTCCGCGTGTGGAATTAATCAAGTGCTCCGAGTCCTCCTTTTGAAGGGCCCATTTTCTCCTCCAGTTTGAGCTTTTTTCTTCTCCAGTTGCCTCGGGTTTCCCGGAGCTGCGGTGGAAGTCCATTGTGTAGGCTCTCGAAGCAGTGCCGGAAGCGCCAGCGCCTGCGGAAGCCGCTCCCACCACGAAGGCGACGAAGGCTGAGCTAGAAGCGGAGACCTCCGAGGACGGGTGCTCAGTATGAGGCTTCGGAAGTAGCTGCCTCGGATTTCGCATAGGTAAAGAAAGCCACAACGAACTAGCTTTGGGTGGGGGATGGGGATGACCGGGATGACGAGTCGCAGGACGTGAAGAAATTGCGAGCTGAGCTGTGCCGTGGAGGAATTCTATTTGGCATTGGGCTTTGGTGTTCAGTCATGTTGGTGGTGTGCCTGCATTGCTCAGAGGGTTAAATGCTTCTATCATCAAATCTCATGACGCTCAAAGGCTTTGAATTGTTTTCCTGCAGCATCTTGACACCACTTCCGATCCAAAGCTCCCCAAAGAAGAGCTGCTGACAATTGGGCCACCTTGAACAGAGGGAAACACACTCCGCTCGCTCCGCTCAGGGCAGCGCTGCAAGAGCGGCTTTCAACAGAGCTGGAGGCTTCCAAGTCTGAGGCCTTGATGCTCCAAATCCGAAGCCAATTGAAAAACAAATTTGGAGCATTCTGTAGCTGTTGACGTTGGTGAGGCTTAGGGGTGCAACTTCAGGTCACAACTCTTTTTTTTGGGGGGGGCCGTGACTCAACCACGCAGCTGTGGACCCACGTCCCGTGAGCTTTAGAGTCTCAACAGTCTCATCCATCAAAGGTCTCATCCATCCGTTCTGCCGTTATGGAGGCTTCAAGTTGGCAAGCTCGCCTCTTGGAACTCCAGAGTCAAGAAGAGGTTTCCCAAAGAGAAGAGGCAGGCTCCACCGGTGAGAAGAAGTGTCTAGAGGTCAGCAAGAGCCCCAGACCTTGGTACTTGATAATTGGAACGATTGGTGGGGAAACAAATGAAGCCTAAAATTTAGTTGAGCGCCCAACTGGCGCTTGTGAGCTCGATCAAAGAGCAAAGCCTACCCGCGCACAGTCACAGTGACATGGCGTGACCCTGCAATTTCTAGGTGCCGGAATGAGCGTGGACGAGAGAGGTCTTACAGTCTTACAAACCAGTCAGAAGTCAAGGTATATAGCAGTTTGTTTGATTCGCAAGCATCATCAACCTTCTATTGCGGAGTATCTCTTTGGTTGGCCGAAACTCTGAGAGGCAACAAAGCTCAAAACATCGCAGGACCTGCTATGTATTTGGTACGGTAGTGCGGTATGGAAGAGTCAACATGACTGGGTGGATGCGTGTTCTCACTGAAGGTCTTGTAGCGCACATCGGCCATCCAGGTGCTTTTGTTTGGGTTCATGGGACCATCAAGACCTATCAGGACATGTTGTTTGGGCTTGGACAGGGGCCTGCAAACAAGTAGGAGAGTTATTAGTATTAGTTCTTTTATGTTCTTTTCATATCCTGTGCGGGAGCGAGGAGGAGATGGCAATCATGGAGGCGCAGGTCGAGACGCTGCAAAAGAATCTTGAGGCAGCCCGTGAGGGGATTGGTTCACAGCAAATGGCTGCGTGTCTCTCTCTGCCCCCTGCGTCAACATAACCAGACTATCTAAACATTTCTTGATGCACTTTGCCGGAACATAGAGCAATCCTGCAGCTCATTTTCGATTTCGTATTGGATCACAGTTTCCGCATGTGGTTTCCCTGTGTTGCAGGAGGCCAAGACCGAGCAGGCGCAAGCCAAAGAAAGTGGCGAGCAAGTGCGGACAGAGGTTGAGGAGGCCGAGCTTCAAGTGTTCTGAAATCGTTGGGCTGTTGATCAGAGGGGGGCGCGACGTTTTTTGAGAGAAAAGACTTTGAGGAAGATATTGCTGTGATAAGGCGCCTGCTTCGATTTCTGGTGTTTTCTGGTGATGTGCGATGGTTTTGTGATTTGAAGTGAGTTCCAATGATGTGATTTGCAGTGGCCTCAAGAAGCCTGAAAATGACAAAGTGGGGCTCAGTAAAAACTGTACGTCAACATTTTTTAGACATTCCTTCTCTAATTTACCGCACTCGGCTTCTGGATTGTGGAACTTGTGATGGGTGGGTGTTACGAGTATGTTAGCATTTTGCACTAATTGCGGTGAATTGTGCTGGTTTGTTGTGAAGTCTAGCGTTGTATTGGTGGCCTGTTGATGTGGTAACATGGGTGATCGTAGCAATAGCTCATAGCAGCATACAAAATTGTCGTGGTGGTAGTGTGGCAGCCATACCAGTAGGAGTAGGACCTCCGGAGCGTGCAAACCAATAGCTACTCCGCGATTGCTTGATGTTCATGAGCACACATGGTCGTTGCTTTCCCCACGGCAGTCTTTGTCCGCCTGAGCGCAAATTCGCAGAGGCCAAGAGAAAGGAAACCCATCTGCTTGCAGAGGTCGAGCGATTCCAAGCTGAAGTGGCTGAAAGAGTGGAGGCCATGGCAAACATGCAGGCGGGGATAAGGTCGATAGGATTCTTCATTGGCTGTGTGTCTCATGTGCCGTTCAGTGGGAGCATCCAGGCGGCTGCTATCTGACACTCAACAGGCATGCAAGTTGCTTAAGCATTTTATGTGGTTTGTCAGGAGCAGTACAGCTCTGAGCTCAAGGAAGCAGTGGAAGCCTGTGACAAAGAACAATCCCAAGCTCAAACCCTCACAGACGAGATTGCAGAAGTGCGCGGACTTCATGGAGAGGAGACTGAGAGGTTCAGGGTTGGGCAATCGTTCATAGAAAGAGGTGTAGCTGCTGAACTTGCATTGGCTCTTCTCCGTCTTGTGAGAAGGTGCATCTTTCTCATTTCATCTCATTTCCTTTTTTTGGCCTTCCAATTGCTGACCAGCCCCTGAGGTTGAGGCAACTCCATATGGAAGAGATGAAAGAAAAGGAATCGAGCTTCGCCAAGGCCTCGGCGGATGCTTCTGGGTTGGCTGCGGAGATGGAGGCCTTGCGGTCTCAGCATGCGGCCGCCGTGGAGCGTGGCGATGGCTTGGAAGCAAAAATGAAGGACCCAACCTGGATACCAAAGACGCCTCGGTCCGATTTGGACGATGCTGTAAGTCCGCTGTGCTGCTCCTCATGCCTGCTTGTTTGCGTTTTCTACGGACTAACTAGCTGCAACTAGCTATGTAGATGCTGCGTATCGCTGCGTTGCTGCGTGTGCTATGTTGAATCCGGTATAGTATATATGCATATCACGAACAGAGGTACCAAGCACCAATCTTACATGAACCTATCCGTCTCTGTGCTTAATGCGCACCTGGTAGGATCTGGAAGTGGAGCATCTCCAAAGAATTGAACATCATGACAAGCTCACAGAAGAGGTGGCAGCCCCATGGTTCTGCGTCAATCACTTCCAACGTGGTAAGCTCCGCTTTTCCGAGCCTTCGGAGCTTCCGAGCCTTCAGAGTCTCCATCTCTCATCTGTGGGTCGAAGCTGAGGTGTCTCAGAAAGCCGCCGTGCGTGAAGCTGAGCTTCGCACACAAGTGGCGCAGTCTGAAGAGGAAGCTGCCATGGTTGGGGTCCTTGAGAAGAAGACCGGCCTAGGTACAAATCATAAAGCTATTAGTTGTGAAACTGTAGGCGTGAAAACCTATTTGGCCGGGGGGCAATCCCAATTGATTTTGCATTTCTTGGATGCTTTTAGGGGGTCGTTTTAAGCTGAGGTGTCTCGTGACCTGGAACAGTTGAAGGCGTGAGTGGAGGGGTACTCTGTAGGCATATCTACCGCATCACGATACCATTGGATTAGACTACTGTATATAGATATATGCATTGCTGCACTACCCCTTTGCATGGCCTTTCTCTCCCTGTCAAGAGATTTTTTCACTGACTTTGGACCAAGTGCTCTCTCGATTGGTATATCCATGGTTGCAGGTGCAACTGGAAGGCGAGCTATCAGAAGCGAAAGAAGAATCCGATCAAAAGAGGAACAAGGTAGAGTCACTAAGCGAAGAGATGCAGCAGCTGGCTTCCAAACATTTAGAGGCAAGGCGATAAGGAAAGCTTGATGCGATGGTGGGGTATGGTTTGGATGGTGTTGCCAGGCGACACCGATGGCCCATTTAACTGTTTGATTTGTTTAGAGATGTTCCTCGGGAGGCGTTGGAGGAGATGCGTCGTGCCCACAGTGAGGAGGTCCTGAGGAAGGAGGCCGACTTCGCCAAGGCCTCGGCCGATGCTTCTGGGTTGGCTGCGGAGATGGAGGCCTTGCGGTCTCAGCATGCAGCCGCCGTGCACCGCGGCGATGGCTTGGAAGCAAAAATGAAGGACCCGAATTGGAAAGCTAATTATGAACACTAGGGAGCCGTTTCCAAGGAAGATCTCATCCCAATCATCTCCTCAATTTGTTCCCCTTTGCGTCGCATAAGGAGTGGACTCACGTTGGACTACCCATGCAAGCCTTTCCCCATCATTTCCTCGCGTGGTGTGTCGCACCAGGGTCTGTCGGTAGTCGACGTAAAGGGGGACTGAGGGGCTGCAAGGCTCGTCAGGAACGAGGCGTCTTCAGTCTCCAGACACAATTTGACACCGACGGGCGTGTGTATGCATGCAGGAACATGTGGCCGGATTGACCACAGAACTAGAGCGAATCCGCTCAGAGTTTTCTGCAGAGCAAGAAGTCAGAGAGTCAGATGCAAAGGAGGCAGCGTCAAGAGCAGAGGAATTGAATGAAACGATCCAGAAGCTTCAAGATGCTGTTGCTGCAGAGGCCAGTGCCCGTGAAATGCAGGAGGAGAATGCCACAGCCAGAGCGGCTGAATTTCAAAAGCAGATCCAGACACTCGAAGATGAACATGCAACTGCAGTGAAAGAGGCGGAAGCAACAGAAGCTAAAGCCCAGGAGAATCTTTCGGAGACCAGTTCCCAGCTCGAAAAAGCAAGAGCAGAGCTTTCTGCAGAACAAGAAGCGAGAGAATCAGATGTGAAGCAGGCAGAGTCAAGAGCAGAAGAACTGAATGCAACGATCCAGAAGTTGCAGGATGCAGTGGCTGCTGAAACTACAGCACATGAGGCCAAAGAAGAGGATGCGAACGCAAAGGCAGCTGAGCTCCAGACTCAAATCGAGAAGCTCCAAGATGAGCGTGCGATAGCAGTCAAAGAGGGAGAAGAAGCAGGTGCCAAAGCCCAAGCGGACTTTGCAGATCTAACCTCTCAGCTCGAGAAAGCTCGTTCTGAGTTTGCTGCAGAGCAAGCAGTCAGAGAGTCAGATGCAAAGGAGGCAGCGTCAAGGGCAGAGGAATTGAATGAAACAATACGGAAGCTTCAAGATGCTGTTGCTGCAGAGGCCAGTGCCCGTGAAATGCAGGAGGAGAATGCCACAGCCAGAGCGGCTGATCTTCGAAAGCAGATCCAGACACTCGAAGATGAACATGCAACTGCAGTGAAAGAGGCGGAAGCAACAGAAGCTAAAGCCCACGAAGCTCTTTCGGAGACCAGTTCCCAGCTCGAAAAAGCAAGAGCAGAGCTGTCTGCGTCACAAGAAGCGAGAGAATCAGATGTGAAGCAGGCAGAGTCAAGAGCAGAAGAACTGAATGAAACGATCCAGAAGTTGCAGGATGCAGTGGCTGCTGAAACTGCAGCACATGAGGCCAAAGAAGAGGATGCGAAAGTAAAGGCAGCTGAGCTCCAGACTCAAATCGAGAAGCTCCAAGATGAGCGTGCGATAGCAGTCAAAGAGGGAGAAGAAGCAGGTGCCAAAGCCCAAGCGGACTTTGCAGATCTAACCTCTCAGCTCGAGAAAGCTCGTTCTGAGTTTGCTGCAGAGCAAGAAGTCAGAGAGTCAGATGCAAAGGAGGCAGCGTCAAGAGCAGAGGAATTGAATGAAACGATCCAGAAGCTTCAAGATGCTGTTGCTGCAGAGGCCAGTGCCCGTGAAATGCAGGAGGAGAATGCGACTGCCAGAGCAGCTGAATTTCAAAAGCAGATCCAGACACTCGAAGATGAACATGCAACTGCAGTGAAAGAGGCGGAAGCAACAGAAGCTAAAGCCCAGGAGAATCTTTCGGAGACCAGTTCCCAGCTCGAAAAAGCAAGAGCAGAGCTTTCTGCAGAACAAGAAGCGAGAGAATCAGATGTGAAGCAGGCAGAGTCAAGAGCAGAAGAACTGAATGAAACGATCCAGAAGTTGCAGGATGCAGTGGCTGCTGAAACTACAGCACATGAGGCCAAAGAAGAGGATGCGAAAGCAAAGGCAGCTGAGCTCCAGACTCAAATCGAGAAGCTCCAAGATGAGCGTGCGATAGCAGTCAAAGAGGGAGAAGAAGCAGGTGCCAAAGCCCAAGCGGACTTTGCAGATCTAACCTCTCAGCTCGAGAAAGCTCGTTCTGAGTTTGCTGCAGAGCAACAAGTCAGAGAGTCAGATGCAAAGGAAGCAGCGTCAAGGGCAGAGGAATTGAATGCAACGATCCGGAAGCTTCAAGACTCACTCGAAACAGAGACAAGTGCGCTGCAAGTCTTGGAAAAGGATATGGACCAGCAAACACGCGAACTGACCCAGAAGGTGGCCAGTTGGCAGTCTGAACACACCGAGGCAGTGGAGAAAGCTGAGAGCATGGCAGCAGTTGCAGCGCAAGAAAAAGCAGAGCTTCAGCAGTCAGTGGAGCAGTGGCGCTCCGAACATGAGGAGGCGGGGCCAAGGCAAACAGGCTCCAAGTCTGGAGCATGGCGCAAATAATGGACAAGGATTTTGTCAAATCTATTTGTTGAGCGTTCTGTCACCAATCTAGACTAACACACTGCATCGATAAGCACAAAGTTGTCCAATCAGATTGATTTGGTTCGCTGAACTTTGATTCTTTCTGCGCCCGTCTTTGGTTCTGGATCAGCGGCTGCAGCAACCGCCCAGGAAGTTTGCTTGAAACAAGCGAAGTCCAAGGATGCTGAATCTTTGTCAGAGCAGGCCAGCTGATTCACCTGCTTCTTGCGCATACACCATTGGGGTTATTTGTATATAAGTTTATATATGTATATGTATATATATATATCTATATATATATATGTGTGTTCCGCATTTTACTAGATGGGTTTGGGTTGAGCTCAAGAACCCCTCAGGTGGAGCAGCTGCGACGGGCCAAGGAGAAATGATGCAGACGGCCAGTCGTCGTGCAACGATTCATTGGTGAAGTTGGGGCATCGTGAATCGTGTGTATGTACCTCTCTTTCTCTATATATATATATGTGTATAGATATTCACCTATGAATATAATGTTATATACATAATGTTACATATACATAGCAGTCTCCCATATTGGTTCCGTTTGCCCCTTGGTCTCCAGCCTTTAGGGGAAGTTGCCGTTGGGCGACTCCGGCACGAGTCATGCCAATGCCCGCCCCAGAGAGAGAGAGAGAGAGAGAGGGAGACATACGATCAAACCACCCAAGCGCAAGTACCTGAGTAGCTTCGGACGATCGCAAGCTTGAGCTGCCCCAGAGGAAAACCACACATTGGCCCCTGCTCCCTCTGTCTAGTTCGACAAACTTAGCTAGCTTTAAAATTTGCAACCTCGGGCTGCTAACAGGAGGACGAAGCACAAAGTGCAGAGTCCAGGATGCACGATATCCGCCAGAGAATGGAGGACTGGGGGGAGGATGAACAAAACAATAGGTAAGGCCCTAGCCAGTCGTTTTTCCTGCTATTTGGGGCTGCTTCGGTATGGCACTGACAGTCCTTTTCATTTTGCATGTTTTGTGTGGCGACGGTGCGGGTTTCGAAGTAGCATGGTGCGTAGGTCTTGTTGCGGCCGTTTTGCACTCAGTCGCAAGTGATGACCCGATCCAGCGACAGACATTGCCAGACTGTCAGGAGCTGCAGCGACAGCATGCTGAAACTCTTGAGGATCAACGGAAAGAATCTGAGCAGGCAGGAGAGAAGGGCGGATCGCACTTCGAATCTGTAAAGGTCTCAGGATCGCACATAAGTGACCAGTGACCAACTGTGACTTACAATTGGTCCGATTCGTGACTCAGGATTAGCATCTCTCATCTGACACCATGGAAAGCGCTCTGCGCTTCGCTTCACGCACTTCATACTGTACACTTTGATTGAGGTGTATCTTCAAAATCACGCCTTGTACGCTTGTAGCGCGCCAATAAGAGATTCCAGATAGCTCTCTGTAGGTTCTTTAGCGCAGGACACGTTTGTGGCCGCTGGGTTTGGATTTTGACTTCGATTTCTTGAGAATTTGGGCCTCAAGATTCAAGATTCCCGTTATACAAACAGTCCAGGTTTCAAGTGCCCGAAAGCGCGAAGTAGCGCGAAGCAGGCTCTCCAGATACTTACTGCAGAGCAGGAGGAGGAGCTACAAGCAGAAAAGCAGAGTCTTCAACGGCAGGTGGAACTCACCCGTCACTTTGAAGCTGAGAAGGCAGGGAGTTCCTTTGGCACTTTGGGTTGCCTGGGCGAAGCCATTTGTTGTTTGAGAGGACTACCTAACACAGCGCAAGGGGAAATGTTGTGGCATCGCTTGATTTGGACAGACTATATACTGGATTTGTTTATGTAGTCGCCCACATTCTTTACTTAAGCGTGCTAGAGGCACACTGTCGAACTCTGCACTTGGCGAGTTTCTGCTTTATTCTTTTGGTGGTAAGTTGTGGATTATGGCGTCGGCGTAGTCCTTTGATTCAGGTGCAGCTTTGCAAAGACCTTAAGGAGACTCAGGAATCGTGGCGCAGAGAAGAATCTCAAGTCGAGGTACTGGGAGAAAAGATCCAACGGATGAGCTCGCAGCACACTGAGGAGATGGATAGGATCAAGCAGACATATTCCAAGGAGGTGGAACGCATGGAAGCTGATTTTGCTAAAGCTTCCGAAAATGCGTCAGGCCTTGCGGCTGATATGGTTCGTGTTCGATCAGAGCATGCTGAAGCAGTAGAACGTGGTGACAGGCTGGAGGCAAAAGCAATGGAAGACGCGCAGACGATGCTGGCGCAACTTGAGAGAGCAAGGTCGGAGTATTCAGCAGAGCGTCAGGGGAGGGAGTCCGACGCAAATCAGGCGTCAACAAGAGAAGAAGAACTGAAAGAAGCAATCCAGAAACTCGAAGATGCACTTGCCACGGAGGCGAGAAGCAAGGAAGCGCAAGACAAGGTGGCCGTGGCAAGATCTGCTCAGCTCCAAACTCAAATCGAAAAGCTTGAAGATGAACATGCAGCAGAAGTGAGAAAGAGTCAAGAAGCAGATGCCAAAGCCCAGGGGGATATTGCAGAGCTAACCTCTCAGCTCGAGAAAGCTCGTTCTGAGTTTGCTGCAGAGCAAGAAGTGAGAGAGTCAGATGCAAAGGAAGCAGCGTCAAGAGCAAAGGAATTGAATGAAACGATCCAGAAGCTTCAAGAAGCTGTTGCTGCAGAGGCCAGTGCCCGTGAAATGCAAGAGGAGAATGCGACTGCCAGAGCAGCTGAATTTCAAAAGCAGATCCAGACACTCGAAGATGAACATGCAACTGCAGTGAAAGAGGCGGAAGCAACAGAAGCTAAAGCCCACGAAGCTCTTTCGGAGACCAGTTCCCAGCTCGAAAAAGCAAGAGCAGAGCTGTCTGCGTCACAAGAAGCGAGAGAATCAGATGTGAAGCAGGCAGAGTCAAGAGCAGAAGAACTGAATGAAACGATCCAGAAGTTGCAGGATGCAGTGGCTGCTGAAACTGCAGCACATGAGGCCAAAGAAGAGGATGCGAAAGCAAAGGCAGCTGAGCTCCAAACTCAAATCGAGAAGCTTCAAGATGAGCGTGCGATAGCAGTCAAAGAGGGAGAAGAAGCAGGTGCCAAAGCCCAAGCGGACTTTGCAGAGCTAACCTCTCAGCTCGAGAAAGCTCGTTCTGAGTTTGCT